GAGTACCCGGGGAGGAACTTTTATCCTAAATATCACTCTTTATGGGGGTGAAAAGAGGTTGGAATTTTGTACGATAAATCAATTTTTCACTAATCAAAAATGAATATTATATTTTAAAGGTTGTTTTACAACGAAATAAAATCAATTCGTACCACATAGCTACTAGTCTAGTCAGTCAGAAAATTAAAAAGAGGCTTCTCACGGCTACTGCGAGACCTATACGAGAAAAAGGTACCTATTTCAACATTCTATCAGTATGAACTTAAGCAGTTCTAACAAAATTCTAATTCGTTACAATAAAACGTAAATAAAGCCTTGTTTTGTATTCGCTGGAAGCTACAACGACGCCTTTGATGTAATCAACCTATGAACAAGGAAGAAGCGCTTCAGAAATCATATTTCACATCCCAAAGGCGCCAGATATACCTAGCCTGCCTTCATTGCAGTAACACCACAGACCTTCATTGATGCCACTAGGAAGTGCTCCTTCAAACAACCACTTAGTGTTCTCTCCAGAGATAGCTTTCAGCCGGCTCCCAGCTCTGTACAATCGATGCAACTAATTTTGTATTTAGATTAACAACTTGCAGTTATTTAAATCGGTCGTATACATTTGATCGTTCGCTTTGTTTGTAAGCAAACTATTTCAGTATAAAATTAAGGTACAAAAACCTTTTTAAAAACAAGCTTTTATTCAAATGCGCTAAAAAGAAAAAAAGAAAATTTAGTTAAAGTTTGTTTCTAAATAGATTTTCAAATTTTAGAAGTCCGCCATATTGGATTGAGAGTGACGTCACATTTTTTTCGAGTTACTCTCAGCAAGCCCTTTAATTTGATACCCATATTGTAGGAATGCATTAAAAATGATTGGTCCGCCATTTTGGGTATGCCGCCATATTGGATTTAGAATGACGTCACACTGTTAAGCATGCATTGTCATCCGAACTGAACGAGCATACCAAATTTCAGCTTAATCGGTTGAGGGCAAGTGCTTTAAAATTGAGTTGTAAGATTTGACCGTAACAAACATACATAGCAAGTTAAATAAAAGCTTGTAAAAAGTATGTCTCATTCAATATCAGTATCCACTGAAGGGCTGACTTATATTATTTAGTATACAACAATGTATTCACATGATTTTATATTTATTTTTAAGCATTTAACTACTTCATGTCTAAATGTAAAGAAAATTTAACTACAAAAAAATCCATGTGGACGGAATACGACCTAGCACCCTCCGCTAGGTACGCAAATGACTCTATCCCCACCTGATATTATGTTATCCCTAACTGTCCGTGTCGAATTATCTCTAGCATTTCTTTGGCTGCAAGGCAGCGCCGTCTCTTCGCATTGTTAATTTCACATTGTAAAAAAAATTATTCACATTTCAAAAAGTAGCTAATCAAAGATAAATACATACCTACCTTAGTACCACAAACAGTGAGGCATGCATTCAACACGAGTTTAAGAAAAATGTAAAACAAAAATTACCTAAAACCTAAACAGTGTCTAACTTATTTGTTTCTTAGGTTTTCACGCACATCACTCATTAAATAAAACTAGTTTTAACGGGTTAATGCACGAAACTTTATTTATTTATTGACGTTTCGCAGCCTTTTCAGGTCTGCATCGTCAGAATAATTATTTTTTATTTAATTTTGTCGAGCTATATAGACAACGAAATTTTAAAAATCTTCCAATGAAATAACCGAACGCTCAATAAAAGTCTTTCGAAGGTAGCTCGACAAAATTAAATAAAAAATCATTATTCTGACGATGCAGACCTGAAAAGGCTGCGAAACAACAATAAATAAATAAAGTGTCGTGCATTAACCCGTTAAAACTAGTTTTATTTAGTGTCTAACTTTTTACAGTTAGACCGCTAGATTTGCATACAGTTGCATGCATAAAATATTTTGTTTAGCAAGCAGTAAAATCTTAGGGCCATTTTAAAATGTTTCAGTGTTTCACAGTCTAAAATGTTTTACGATGTGTTAACTATAAAAAGAGCAATGTGTTATTCGCACCTATATCATACGAGATTTTTATTGACAAATAAAACAGCGAAAGGTTTTGTGAAGTAGTAGATGTGATCGTTTTAAATAGTAACATCATAGCAACAACTTATAAAGCTTGAATTTCTCCTTGAATCTCTTTAACAATGACGATTGCGTAAGACCCTAAAGTTTTATAGTTGGTCTACAATGCACTGGTGACAACTAACTGGTGGTTTTAACTCATAAATGGTGACATTAAACTGAATACAATGGTAAATTAGCTTTCTGACGACTGAGCCCAATGTCGACAAGGACATTAATATTGTCTAGCACTGTCGAATGCATATTTCTTGCAAGGGATATGCATATTTAGGCGGAGCTTGCATCATGCAATGCAGTGTGTACTATTTAACACGTGGTGTTGTAATGTAATGTATTCCTATCTTTAGTATATTTGTGAACGTTCAATTTAGTTTTGATTTTATGTATGTTTTTATAAATTCAGATGAATTAATGTAATTTAAAAAATCATATCTGCTCTTATATTGCATGTTGTGGTCGCGTTAAATAGAATTCACGTTGTTTCTTGTTTTGTGATATTGTGCTATATTTTTTTTTCTAGTAAACTTTTCTTTAGATTTAAACATCTAGCAGTAAAATGCTTAAAAATAAATAAAAACATAATTGTGCTAGATGTTAATCATGCTTTGTATCATTCACTAGTGATCCCTAATAAATAAATAAAAATAAATAATTGTGTTTAAAATACGATATCAGGAAATATATGGTCAGCTGAATATTTCTTGTGTAAAGTTAAAGAGCTTTCTCTTTGACAGATAAATTTATAAGAATACTAAGTAGAGGGAAAATCGCAAGTAAGCTGACGGGCGTGAGACATTTAGATAATGATAAAACAATGCAATTATTGTTTGAAATGACAATATTGTTATTCAATTATTCTGTCCAGATGGCAGCTCTCGCCAGTTAATACGAAATCAAGCAAAGAAACTATGCCCATTTTAGAAGTAGTCAGTTTAGAAGTTAAAGCTCTTGAACATTGAATTATAAAAAAGCTACAGGCAAATTGTTACATTGAAATCATTATCCGTGGACATAATATTTGTGCTAATTGCGAAATGCCTCAAATCGAGATTCAAATCTAGGAACTTTGGAACAGAATGAAAATGGTCAACTGTTTATGTTCCATGTTTGTCAGCTCTTAAGTTCCGCGTTATATATCCAAAATTGTTATTACGAAAATACCCAAGAATTTGTAAAACACACAAAATTTCTTGAGTTTTGAAGCACTTTAGGGAATCCCATATACATATGTAGAGCATAAAATAAAATAAACCTGACTTTTATATATCTTTCAAGCGCATGTTATGTAGCTAATGATATTCATCCAATTTTTTTAGTTCTGTAAACCAAGAGGTTCTTTATTAACTTTTCACTTAAATTGGTTAATATTTACCAAAGAATCCTAACGGAAAAGGAAGAAATAATCTGCCCTAACTCCATATAATCGTAAGGTTATATAGAGTGTTACAAAAATACAAATAAAGCTTGAAGGGCGTTGAAGTACATCATGTAAGGAGTCTTCTCTAATTTTTTTAAAGTATTTACATGAATTTAAAATTAAAAAAAAAATTGAATGCTTAATAAAAATATCGATCTTTTTAGGACACGTCACTAGTTCGAGGATTATTAAAAATAACTGTTTTTATAAAAAGTTAAAACTCCATGCAAATATTTTAAGAAAATTAGAGAAGACTCCTTATATGATGTACTTCAACGCCCTTCAAATTTATTTGTATTTTTGTTACACCCTGTATATAGCATGGTTTGTGAGTCTCTTAGCATGGTCTTATTAATAAAGGAGGAATAAGCTTGGACTAGTTAAGCCGTGTTTTGTTCATATCACTCAAATTCCATTTGTCATTCAATAACCATAGACTGGAGTTACTCCAACATGGAGTAACTTAAGTAAGCCTATCCTTCGTTCGCCAATAAGGAGGATTATGTTTTTACAATGGCTAAGAAAGTAGATATTTTGAAATCAAGCATTTTAGATTACTTATAGAGAAGAATTTAAAATTAAACCAAACAATTGTTCACTTGACATAAAAATTAAGCATTTATCGACGATAAAATAAATTAACTAATAAACAAATTCAAATTTTAATCGAGCAAATATGTGATGTTGATGTGATGTTAGGCAATAAATTTTACTGGTGAATATATGAATAATAAAACAAAGAGGATTCCCACACAACTGAATTTAGCTACGGACGTGATAGGAGCATGTGATTGCGCAAATCAGCAAGCTCCGTGGTTCCTACCGCGATAACAGGGCGGTGCGGGGCTAACCCTGGCCCTATTCGGGATAATATGTATGTTACACCATTTTAAATTATGCCAACAAACATCATGGAAATAATATTGACCCGTTTTTTTTTTAATGTACCATGATAAGAGGACAGCTTTAATATATTCTGAACGAAATTAATTCTAATGAAATACAGAAAAAGTAATAGAGTCAAATAGTTTTATACAACAATGGTGTCGATTCTAGCATGATTCTCTCAACCTAAACTTAAATTAGACAGCAGTATATCCTTGTCATACTCTACACAGAATAAAAAGGAGAGACTGATGTTAAATTTAGTTTTAAGTTTAAAGAATCACGCCAGAATCGACACCAATGATAACTTTAATTTAAAAAGTCAACATAACTATTTTTTTTAAAGAATAATGTAACAGTTACAGCTTCGTCCTAAAATGGCACAAAAAACAAGGAAAGTGTAATTTATTACGAAAGAAAATAAGATGTTTGAATAGATCAAGTAATTTAACAATATAAATTATTTTCAGTTACATTACGTAATGCGATACTTATCTAGAACTAGAGACAATAAACGGGCACCAGTGGGATCCGTTGCCTGAAAAATTTAATACGAAGAAAAAAAAACTTTATCCATATTAAATTTGGACACTAATTACCATGCCACTGGAGAGAGGCCGGGGCACTCGGGCGCCGAGCGTGCGGGTTCGATAACTGGTCTCGAAAGTCGCGGGATAATCACGGGCACGACCGCTCTGGTCGGCGGCACGCTCGTTACTAACCGCTAAAATCGCGAGCTTTATCAATGGACGGACATATACAAGCGCCCGCGCACGTTTGCCCGACCACTTAGATCGATGCTGCTTCCGTTACGTTATTAGTGGCTACTATTCTTTACATGAATGTTTGTTTACCGCGCTTGCGTTGGCGCTTTTGATACGTGCGGTTGGTGCTTTCGGCTCCTGTCTGCATGTTTTGCGTTTGCGCACAGTGCTGTCATATCTACCAACTTTTTGCTAGATCTACCAATTTTCACTTCAGTCTACCTATCTACCACCCTAGACCTAAAAACTACCTATTTTTTAATTAGTTTGACATATCACCACTTTTAATTATTTTTATATCGACGAGCGACGTTGCGTGTTAGAGGTGTAAACTCAACTTAACGTTGTCTCTGACACACGTTTCCTTAGTAACGTGAAAAACGAGAAGTCTTGGAATGCAAGTTATATGAGCAAGTTTGTATTTTCATTTTCCTCCAATATGGTACTTCATTCGGGAGGCGGTAGGCAATCGGTTAATTAAAGTAAATTTCTTGCCAACGTCCGAAATGATAGCGGACATCTTAACAAAACCCTTGTCTTTAGAAAAACAACTATTTTGTAAAGGGTTTAGGCTTACAACGTAATTTGTCAAATAGGTAGATATCTTTACGTTAGTTAAGTTTAAGGGGCGGTGTTAGAGGTGTAAACTCAACTTAACGTTGTCTCTGACACACGTTTCCTTAGTAACATGAAAAACGAGAAGTCTTGGAATACAAGTTATACGAGCAAGTTTGTATTTTCATTTTCCTTCAATATTGCGATGCATTGCGTGAGCCATGCAACGATGCGTCAAGCATACATAGAGTCCAGACCATAAACCACAAAAAAACCTCAGCAACAGTTCGCCATGAGTTCGGCGTTCGCACAATATCGCGCCCAAATTTTACTATTCCTACTGTGGCCTATTCCCGGTTGGTTTGTTGCGGAATCAATGTTGAATCTTTGCTACTGTTTTATTGTAAAAACTAATTAACTGCGTATTAACGGTGCTGATTGCTGTTTGTTCTATGTTGCATGCATTATTTGTATAATGGATTCTGACAGCAGCGAAAGCGATGCACATAGTTCTAGGTTAGGAACTCCGCCACGAAAATCTAGAAAAAGGCACTATGACCAAAAATATTCGAAATTATGGGAGAAAGACAAGGAATTTGCAGGTTCGCTTCAAGAAATTACTAAGGGTAACGGATATTTTTATTGCAAATCATGTAGGTGTGATCTGAAGTGTACTATACATTGCATTGCATGCATTTTTAATCTTATAAAATCTTCTAAATTGAGGTGGTAGATCTACCAATTTTGCATTTTACATTCTACCAACTTCTACCAACATTTGGCACATATTCTACTAATTTTCTAAAATTCGGGTTGCCAGCACTGTTTGCGCAGCACCTATCAGGGGGCCAATCGCCTAACGGAAATGCTTTGGGAAACGCTAACGCTTACGATTTTATATTGTTATTTCTAGCCGCCGGAGGTTTTCGAATACCTCACGCTCATTTTTTTTAATATTGTTATTACCAATGTAAAAGAAAAAGAAAGAGCGCGAGGCATTTGAATACCTCAGGCGGCTTGAAATAACAAAATAAAATCGTAAGCGTTAGCGTTTTCCTAAGCATTTCCGTTAGGCGATTGGCCCCCAGTAATGAGTTGATTACAATCATCCCTAGGTACCTACTCCTGAGAGTTCAATAACAAAAAATCGCGACAACACTGAACAGCTATCCTGTTCAGAGATTCTTTAAGCTATCATGTTTCAGTGTCTCATATAAATAAAATTCAAAGTATTCAAAGTTGAGCTCGATGGCGCAGGTGGTTAACGTGTTCGACTGCGATCGTTGAAGTTAAGCAACTGTCGCAGTGGTCGGTCATTGGATGGGTGACCAAAAAAAAAATTTACTATCTCGAGCTTCTCCGTGCTTCGGAAGGCACGTTAAGCCGTTGGCACAGTCCTTCCCTATGAACGGAATAGGGAGATTGGGCCATGACCCACCACGCGGGCCCAGTGCGGATTGGTGGGTGCTAACGGCTGCTGATACAGCCGGGATCAGCAGCCGTTAGCACCCACCAATCCGCACTGGGCCCGCGTGGTGGGTCATGGCCCAATCTCCCTATTCCGTTCATAGGGAAGGACTGTGCCCCAGCAGTGGGGACATTAATAGGCTGATGATGATGATGATGATTAAGCTGATAAACTCTTGAGGCTTTACCTATCCCGTAAGGTATATAATTTTTGTAAGGTATTAACAAACTTAAGTGAATACCCCTGTCCTATTCAGCAGCTTCAATCACTCCAGTTTAGTTTATTGAAGTTAGCACCCACCAATCCGTATTGGGCCCGCGTGGTGGGTCATGGCCCAATCTCCCTATTCCATCCATAGGGAAGGCTCGTGCCCCAGCATAGGGGACATTAATAGGCTGATGATGATGATGATGAAGTATTCAAAGTATAAACTTTGAAAATTTATCTTAATCCTTATGTCGCATATCGATAAAAGTCGTCCCAGTCGCCCTTTGTAAGCTTCAGCCCTCATTGGCACGCGCACGCATCAAGCATCATTGGAAAATATCAAAAAAAACGGTGGGTGTTTTATTCGTCCCATTTTGTGTTTTCACTGATCAGGAAAACGAAAACGGGATACGTAGAAGTAAGGTTAGGTTAGGTTAGACTCGCGAGAGGGCCCAGAGCGCCGTAATGCAGGAATGGCTGCAGAGGTTGCAGACTCCCACCGCAGGCCACTGGACAATAACGGGAATCCGGCCTTACCTGGTCGAATGGATGACCCGGCGACACGGCTCTTTATCTTTCCGACTTGTGCAGGTGATGACTGCCCATGGGGCTTTCGGCCACTACCTGCACAGGATCGGAAGAGAGCCGGATACCTGCTGTCATCAGTGCGGGGCTAGTGACGACACGGCGCAACATGCTTTAGAGGCTTGTGGGGCTTTTGACGCTGAACGGCGCCAGCTCGTCACTGTTGTGGGGCGGGACCTCTCGCTGCCGACTCTGGTGAGAGCTATGGCCGTGGAGGCCTGCGAGGCCAAGTGCTGTCCGCTGTGCGAACGCCTGCGCTATTGCGCTTTCTCGTGCAGTAGATGATAATAAGCACATGAAGAGTACAGTAGGTTTTAGTGGGTAATCAGAACCCTGGAGTCCCACATAACCCAGGAACGGCCCCATATCGTTACTGGGTATGCATAAAACATTTCCTACTATAAAAAAAAAGTTAGGTTAGACTACCCCTATTCACTTTTTGTTAGGACAAAGGATTGTGCTGTGCGTTCTCTAAGACCATGGTTAATTTCTAAGAATAGAGTTTTAAGGTTTATTAAAATAAGAAAAGTCAACATGAATATTCATATTGACAAACTCAGATCCAAACTCGCGGACCGTGAGGGCCGCGGTAGCATAATTGGTCAGTGCATTCGCCCGGATTGCGAAGGGTGCGGGTTCGAGTCCCGTCTGCTGCCTGCTCCGCGTGGATTTTTTTCTAGTTATATTTTCATTAGATTTAAACATCAAGCAGTTACATGCTTTAAAAATAATAAAAATCTCTTATCTATTAGACAAGTCCGTTCGTCTGTGGTGCTGTTTCAGCGGCCAAACCGTAAGAGATAGATAAAGAGAATATTTAAGTTATAAGTTAAGAATAGTCTGATAAGACTACAAACCGGATTTGAGTAACGTAGCACTTCTGGTTTTCGAGAAATCAGGTTTTGGTGAACATTTGGTTCACTGGTTTGCTAGTTATAAATATAATTGCTATTTCTTCTTTCAAATGTTTAATACTTGTAAAAGTATTCATTTGACATTGTGGGTTACCTATAATGCGAAGAGATGGCGCTGCCTTGCAGCTTAAGAATGGCTAGAAGAATTTCGACGCGGTCCGTGAGGGCCGCGGTAGCATAATTGGTCAGTGCATTCGCCCGGATTGCGAAGGGTGCGGGTTAGAGTCCCGTCTGCTGCCTAGGCCGCGTTGAAATTTTTTCTAGTTATATTTTCTTTAGATTTAAATTTCATACTTATTATATGTGTGAAATCAGATAATATGACATACCTTATTAAACATTTATTTTAGCATAATTGGTCAGTGCGTTCGCCCGGATTGCGAAGGGTTCAAGGCCCCGTCTGCTGCCTGGCCCGCGTTGAAATTTTTTTCTAGTTATATTTTCTTTAGATTAAAACATCAAGCAGTTACACGCTATAAAAAAAATATAAGTACGAAATTAAAAAAAAACTCCAAAAACACATATTTTATTTCTTTTTTCAACGTTGTTTTTTCTTCATAATTATAATCCTGTTAAATGTAATAGATCATTCATAGATTGAACTGCTTAATACACCAACTGTTGTCGAGTTATGTAAAACAAGGTATTGCTCATCGTGACCTACATTTGACTACAGACACCTGTTCAAGTGGCACTATTGTTCATACCTGTGCCGACACAGTGTCGCTGCAAGGACGTTCACCTTATGACTTTTAACTGAAAACTTCCTGCTAAGTTTTTCACACGCACAAAAATTTTAAAAATACAAAGTCTAATAGTTTCCTACTCCTTATAATATAACCTTTGGTATATCAGAGCTCGATGGTGCGGGTGGCTAGCGCGTTCGGCTGCGATCCTTGAAGTTAAGCAACTTTCGCAGTGGTCGGTCATTGGATGGGGGACCACAAATTTTTTATCTGGTGACCACAAATTTTTTATCTTGAGTTCCTCCTTGCTTCGGAAGGCTGTTTAAGCCGTTGGTCCCACGGGCATCTGCAGTCGTTAGCACCTATCAATCCGCACTGGGCCCGCGTCATAGCCCACTCTCCCTATTCCACCCATAAGGAAGGCCTATGCCCGCTGCTGAGTGGGGAAATTGATATGCTGGTGATGTGATGTGACGATGTGTGTATTTCTGTTGGTGAGTAGTGTTTCGACAGAGAACCAGAGTCATCGACATAGCCCACCGGATTAGCAAGTTGAAGTGGCAGTGGGCTGGCCATATTTGCCGAAGAACCAATA